ATGCTCAAGCTGAGAAGCTGAGAATCTTGACCAGAGAGCGAGACACATGCTTTTCTTAGTAGAAAATGTGGTAGGAGAAAAAGAACCAGCTATGGAGGGGAAAACTGTGTTTTCTAACATATTTGGCTGCAGGAAACTGAATACAACACTGGTTTGTGTGTGATCCACCCTGTGGAAAAAGCAAATGGTTTGCATTTTCAAAGGAAATAGAAAGAAATCTCCTTAGGATACAATCGCAGAGACCAGGGCAATATCCCCTGCTTCCATAATTGATATTGCACCCTCCATGTTATGTTCATTTCTGTATGTTTGGGACTGGGACTGGGTGATATTCAAGAGCCTCCTCCAGTTGTATTGCTGTGTGAGAGCAGTCCACAGGGAATGGGACTTGTGACATCCAAAATTTCCCTAGCATTGCAGAAAGCTGAATAAAAATCAGTGTCTGTCAGTCTTAATAAAGGTTTATCAACATTGTTTGTTGTGTGTGTGTGTGTGTGTGTGTGTGTGTGTGTGTGTGTGATGTGCATGTATGTGCACATATACATGCCTGTGCACAAGTGTGGAGGCAGGAAGAGGGTGTCAGGCATCATCCTCTATCAATCTCCACCTTATTGTCTTGAGGCAGGTTCCTATCTTGAACCTGGTGCTTGTGGTAATTATGTTGTTTTTGCTGTTTTTCCCTAACTAGGCCGGCAGCCAGCAAGCACCAGGAACCTCCCAGCTCTACCTCCCACAGCATGAGGGTTCCAGTGGTCATGTGTCACCACCCATAGCTTGTTATATGGGTGCTGAGAACTGAACTCAGGATGCATGCTTGTGAAGCAAGTACTCTTAGCTACATGTCTCCAGCCATAAAACAATGTTTCAGACGCTGATTTTAAAGAACTCAAACCTACCAGTTTGAGAGCACAATTTCAAAGGGCCTGTAAGAGCCCAAGGAGGAGCTACTTTAGATTTAGGAAAATGTGTGCCTTTTTTGTGAAGACTGCCATGGCCTTCCCATATCTGACTTCTCCCAAAATGACCAGCATTAAGACATTTAAATATGTAAGAGGCACAGTGAGGAACAAGGAAATAAAATCCTGGATGTGTAGGTGGACCCCATTTCACTGTGAAGGAAGAAAACCACACAGAAGGCATGGATAGAGGTCTCAGTGTCTGATGTCCCAGAAGAGACACTCAGTGCCCCTTGGGGAACTGCTGGGAAACCACAGCAGAGCATCCCCCACCCCTGCTATCCCTAGCAGGCAAGTTAGTACCAGCTGGCTAACAGATCACATGGATTAACATATCAAAAATAGAATGGACACAGGTTGTCAGTGGAGGTTGGATGGGTACTGTTGCCCCTCTGTGGGACTCTCATGCCAGGGCACCCACCTATCTGGCTTACATCCTGAAGAGATGTACTATCCCACCTGCCAAGTAGGTGGTATGCCTTGGAACTGAGCGGGAGGATGTGAGCATGGGCTGGAGTACAGCTCACTGACAGGAACGGGGTTGACCCTGAGCCAAGTTTTCAGGCCCTTGCTATACATGTCCCCTCGCTTCCCAGGAAGAGCCACTCCCACATTGGGTAGCTAGTACCCAGGACTGGTTGGACTGATTTGGGTTAGGAACCCTAAAGGGTTAAGGGAACAACAGAGTTAGGGATGCAGTACCCTGTCTGGAACCCCAGTCTCCCCCTGGGGTGGTTCTGATTGTGGCTGATGCCTGGTTACAAATTAATTTTTAACCCAAGCATTGTGATTATTTTTTAAAAAGTCAAACCAATTTTGGCAGGAGTTAGAATAAATCCTGGAGCCTGGGCTCCTCTGTCCTTGACCCTCTACAGCCTTCTCTCTTGAGGGGAAACTAGATAGATGGGTAGAGAAGGTTCTCAGCTGCCTCCAAGCACAGGCTTGGGAGCCTGCTGAAGGTCGGGGACGCCGGCCCAGGCCAACTCACTCTGCTCTCCCACCTCTCCCTTCTCTGGTTGGAGGGGGTAGTTTGGGAACTGGTTTGTCCACAAAACACTTCCCTATTGTTCCTTGGCTCACCCTCAGGCAGAGCCCCCTGCCCAGCCTGGGTAAGAGATGGGCTTGGTCCAGCAGGGACCCTGAGGGAACAAATCCCTTCCTTCTGAGGTGTATGTGCCACCCCCCACCCCCCCTACCGTGTAGTTGAACAGGGCTAGGAACTCCCCACTCCCTCTAAAAGCATGATGTGTGGGTTTCAATTCCCATCCCCCCACCCTGCCTAGGTGTCATCCACCCTGTATTCTATCATGTGTCAGAGGTTGTGTGGGGTTGTTCTGTACTAATTTCCATGGTCAGTGGCTTCCATGCATCACTCCCCCCCACCCCGAATGCCCAGGGGCCACCTGCCTGGCATTATAGCATGCTGGGGTCATTGGGGGAGGCTCACGCTGTCCTGCGGTCTTGAGATTTTTATTTTTGCATAAGTAATACATCCTGTACAGGTACCTAACTTTGTAAGCGCTGTGTATTCTCTCTGCCCCCATGGCTGCTGGTGTAAATAAACTGCATCTCCCGTTGGTTAAAAAAAAAAAAAAAAAGTAGAGGAGTTTTTCATGAACCTGAAACCTCACTGTTGCAGCTGGCTAGGGAGCCCCAGAGGCCCTCCCCCCCCCCCCCCCCCCCCCCCCCCCCCCCCGTATCTGCTTCCCCAAGCAGTGATGCATTTCTCTCTTTGTTTGACTTCTGACCTCTGGCCTCTAGCCTCTATATTTTACACATTTATTGTTGCTCCTTGTTTACATATGCATGCACTTTTATGGCATTTATCTTTATTATAAAAAAGAAAAGAAAACACAAGACTCAGGAAACACCTGCGTTTGTAACCCTTCTCATCACAGATGTCAAGCAAATGTAAATTAGATCAGTAAGAGACCAAACAAAGCTTTGGCCACAGTTTTCCATTTTGTTAGAGAAAGTAACTGCAAATCAACAGAAACATGCCATTTGCCCACTAAACGAAACACGTTCCTCATTACACAATTAACCAAACCACAATTGTATGTAATATAATTACTCAAGACTACAATTATACAGAAGTAATGATGCAGGGTAGATGGCAATGACTTCCATGTAATCAAAAATAATGAGAGCTTCCTTGATTGTATATTAAGGTATCAAAGAGATCCCAATTGACAAATGTCCCTGTATTGATCTGCAGTACATAAAATACTGCACCAGCTGATGGATTTGGAAGCTTCTCCCTTGCCAGAATATAGACTTGGGGTGGTAGCCATTCCCTGTAATAGCTTTGATTTAGAGATTTCTAAACTAGCACATTTTAATGAAGCACACATTCAATTACCCACTTTCACAGCTGGTCAAATGGAAAAAAAAGGCACAAAGATCAAGAAGTCAGTGTGAACAAAGAAAAGAAGAAGTCAGTGTGTTGTATTGGTGATCCTATGTGAAATGGTATTTATTATCAGAAATGTTTGTTATGTTCTATCTAGTTACAGCAGTCATTAGCATTAGCAGAGACCATGCTCTGTATGGCTGATTCCCATGTTTCCCAGGAAAGGCACCTGATACTTTTCATCATTTCTCCCCTGGACTGGGATACTCACCTCCCAAACTCCCTTAAGTCTGCCCTGTATTTTCCAAACTCATGTTTCTATCCACCAAATCTGATGGTGTTCTTTCTTAGTTCTTACACAGAGCGTGGAATCAAACTCTGTAAACACAAAGGCCCTCTTTGTGAAGATTCCAGGTTCACGTTCCCAGCTGTATGGAAGCCATATGCCTTCCCTGCATGACCTATGAGCTGAACTATAGCAACTGAACCTAAGATATGATAAATTGCAAGACAAGCCATCAGTTACTTGCTATGGAGGAAATAAGTATTGCCAAGGAAATTATCATAGCTATTAGTTATAAAATGCATCCCAGTATGAGAGATTTTAAATGCAAAATCAAAAGTAGTTTGAACTGATGACACTTGTGAGCCATGTTGTTTCAATGCAGTTCTGTGGCACTGTCTCCTCCCAGCTTCCAGCTACCCTCACCTTTGTCAAGCATGATTTCTCCTTATCCTTAAAGATGTAATGCAATCACCTTCCCAAACTTCCTCAGTCTCATTCCTTAATCTCACAGTGGTACCAACTTACTGGTACCATGTGTCCTTACTGGTACCACATGTTTCACAAATAGGTATATTTGAGATTATGGCAACAACTAATTAATGTAACCAAGGACTTCTAATACAAGCACATATGTAAACACTTAACAAATCATATTTACCCACTGGCTCAATGATATCTTCAAGGGGTAAGCAGAATTAGAAAAATGAAGCAAGTAGGTAAACAAGGAATATGGCAAAATCCTGCTGAAATTCACCATCCATTCTCTTTGGTTTTCTAACTTTAAATCTAGAAATTTCCAACATAAGAGGAGCCAAATCCCAGGAGAGATACACCTGGCCACTGAGTGTCATGCTAGATTTCTGCATTGCAGAATAAAAGAACTGATTCTGCTAGCTTACTCTCTGGTCTCTTTGGAACTAAAGAAACAGTGGGTGGGGTTGCTGGCAGCTAGGACCAGCCATCCCCAACTGAGGTCATCCATGTTGATCACAGCCAAACCCTTAGTGGAGATTTCCTGAAGCTTTGTGCCATTATAAGAGGGATACCCACAGCAGGCAAAGAAGGAAATGGTTTAGGGGAGAAGCAATTCCTCCCTCCTTTACGCTTTACTCTTAACTTGAAAGTAATCAAATGTTGTTTATGCATAAAATTTTAATCCTTTCACAAATTTGTATTTTGATTTAATTTGCATATCCCATTTACTTCAAGTCAACACGAAGAGAGACTCAACTAATTTAAACCGTTTTTCTCTGGGCTTGAAATCCTTTCAGAAATATTTTCCATTGGGCGACTCAATTATGTCTAATGTGTCTAATGTCAGCGGATTAGAATTTTGCTTTAAGAAACTCATATAGAGAACAGTGAGAATGGGAAGGGGAAACAGAGGAGACGAGACAATAATTACCTGTCTTTGATGCTACACAGATCAATGTGTAAATCACTAAAATTCCCCAGGGAACCTTGCTGAACTGAAATGAGGTCCTTGGGCTGGTTATCAATAAAGATGAGCCTCATGCAGCCTTGGAAAGCCTTAATGGGATTTAAGCATTGGGAATCGGTGAGATTGTCGGGGCACCCTGTGGGACAGAGAAAAAAAGATGAAGAACACTGAAATGATCTGTCATTGCTTTGGCAACCTATTGATGGAAGACCTTGAGGTCTAATTATTTGGGCACTTTTTTATTCTCAACAGGACACACTTTTGTTGTAAATCCTAGCTCAGGAGAAGGGGCAGAAATGATGTAAAATGGGTATATTCAGTCATTATAAAGGAAAAAAAACTACCATAAGGAATGTCATTGGTATAACTTTTACCTTAACTCTCATCATGTGTTTGTGTGTGTGTGTTGTGTGTTGTGTGCATGTGTGTGTGTGTGTGTGTGTGTGTGTGTGTGTGTGTGTGTGTGTGTGTGTGTTTGCCTGCAGATGCAGTGCTTTATGTGGGCACGTGTAGAAGCCAGAGGTTGATATCAGTATGTCTTTTTCTACCACTTTCCATTTTATTCTTTGAGATAAGGTCTCTTTGTGAACCAATGTACATAGATGGACTGGTCGTGAGCTCCAGGGATCTGACTTCACTCTTTACTTTTTATGACACTGTCCCTTCACCCAACCTGGAGCTTGCTGGTTGGGGTAGACTGGGTTGTCGGAGAGCCTCAGGAGTCTGTTTATCTCAGCACTGGAATTCAAGGTGTTTCATGACATGCCCAGTATTTTATAGGTATTGAGAATCCAAACTCAGAATCTCATGCTTACATGGCAAGCATTTTACCAATTGATTCTCTCTCTCTCTCTCTCTCTCTCTCTCTCTCTCTCTCTCTCTCTCTCACACACACACACACACACACACACACACACACACACACACACACACATACTTTTTTTCCTGCTGGAAACCTATTCGTCTTTCTTTTGAATGACATCCTTCTCATATTGTTCGCATATTGTAAGTGCTTGGAAATGTTGGCTCTGTCTCAAAACACACATCTAAATTCACAATGCAATTCTGAATTACACTTTCTTTCTAAGGAAATCATGCTCTGCTAAGGATAGCAGCAGAGTAATTGTCTGGTTAATTGTGGAACATTAACAGGCTTAGCTCCCGAGAAAGGTACTCTCAGAAGCCAAGCAGGATTTTTGACCTGCCGTGCAAAGCAAATCCAGACATTAAGAGAACTGCGGGCTTAAGTGCACATGGTTATAGGTTGTAATAGCACATGCGAAAGGTTAACACCACACCTCTTAAAGAGTGTTCTTTTAGAGATGAAAACGCTTTGTCCCTGTTCAGCATCACCTGCAGCCAGGACAGCCTACGCCTCACTAAGACAGATGAAGACCAAGGAGGTTGATGAGTATGTGTGCTCTTACAAACTCCATCTCGGTGGTTTTAATAGGTTCAGAGCATATGGGAATGTAAGCTTGAAAACACAGCAATAAGCCATAAATAATAGGGAATTATTTCAGCCATCTCTAATAGACAGTCACTGCGGGGCTGAAGCCCAGCAGCTGGTTAACAGCTCACAGGCACACTATAAAATGAAGAGATGCTACAACTTCTAATTGAAGCTGTAGAGAGAATTTATGGAAGTTGACTATTATTGCTGAAGCTCGTTTTTCACCTTCCTTAAGTTTACAGTCTGTGTGTGAGGGTTTGTTTAAACACTGTTCAAATCATAGATAAATCTTCACATTCTAAGTCTAGCACCCCTGGAAACACACCCAGAATTTAGCAATATTCTAGCTCGGGGAGGAGAGCCATTTTACTTCTGTGATATTTCAGATGATTATTATAACATGATTATTCAAAGCCATTTTGCCTGCAAATAAATTCCTGATCATCCAGTCTTTCTTCATTGCTAAAATATAGTATGTGATATAGAATGCACAGTTTGGAGTTGAGACCATTGCTCTGCATTTGTTCTCATGCATTTGCTTTCACTAGGGGGCTGCAGTGAACACAGATTTGAATCTTCTCCATATATATGCTGTCTCTATAGCTGTCTACAGATTATTATGATTTCATTAACCTTTGATTGACAATGTATATGAGTATGGGTGCACAAATGCCACAGCCCATGCATGTATATCACAGGACAACTACAGGAGTTGGTGCTTTCTACCTTGTCTGAGAATGTGTCTTCTGTTTGCTAGTGTGTACAGAAGGTTAACTGGTGTAAGTTGCCTGAAGATTAGACGTGCTACAGAGACTGGCTTTCCGGGGGCTCTAGGCATCCAAATACAGGTCCTTATGCTTACCAGCAAGCCCTTTATGAATAAGCTATCTCTCCAACCTACAGATTTCTTTTTATTTCAACAAACAGCAGCCTTATTAAAAAATCCAACCTCATTGATCTTGTTCCACATTGCTTCCTTCCAAGGAGACCCTACATGTGATTTATGTACCTGTGCAAAGACCCTTTGGTGTTTCAAGCCTTCCATATATTTCCCTGGAAAGAAAGGGATGATTTGTAGATTTTGGAGCTAAGAGACTACAGGATTTGGGATGTAGCTCAGTGTAGAGTGTATGATTAGTTTGTGAAAGACTCCGGGTAACTACTGTGTATGTTTTATTGCTATTATTATTTTTATTATTATGCATGAGCAAGAGGGAGTGCAGGCAAGCATGTATAGCCATGCATGTGTGGAATTCAGAAGAGAGATTTATGGAGCCCACTCTACAGATTCTAAGGATAGAACATACTTCCTCAGGTTTAAACAATAAGCACCTTTTACCAGGAAGACATCTTGCCATCTCTTCAGTGAGTGCTATTTTTCAGTGCTTGTCTTCAGTTACCTCATGGAAAGGAACTGTCAGCTCTAGGGCAGGGTCATTTCATGTTCACATTGACAAGATCTGAACCAGTTTGTGCCACTCTCTACACTGTGTAATGGAGGGTATGGGGGAGAGTTGGGGTTGGGTGTGTATGCAATGCTTTGTGTGGGGAGTGTGCATGGGGTTTGGGTGTGCATGTGGTGCTCTGTGTGTAGAGTGTGCATGGAGTTTGGGTGTGCATGTGGTGCTCTGTGTGTAGAGTGTGCATGGGGTTTGGGTGTGCATGTGGTGCTGGCTCTGGAGAGTGTACATGGGGTTTGGGTGTGCATGTAGTGCTGGGTGTGGAGAGTGTTCTTGGGGTTTGGGTGTGCATGTAGTGCTGGGTGTGGAGAGTATTCATGGGGTTTGGGTGTGCATGTAGTGCTGGGTGTGGAGAATGTGCATAGGGTTTGGGTGTACATGTGGTGTTGTGCATGGAGCTCAGTGACTTTTACAAGCTGAGCAAGCCCTCCACCACTAAGCTTCACTAAGCCTGGAATCTGCTCTTGCTTCTACCTCCCAGCAAGTCTGAAATTGCTCTGTGTTCTAGAAAAGTGAGTCCAGAGACTGTATCTTAAGAGGTTGAGGACAGAGGGCCATGAGGACTAAGTTTCCTTTAGGTGTGGCTTCTGTAAGACAGACCATGACTACAGAAACAGGCACTGTTTCTTTTAATAAAAGATACAGTTAAAATACTAAACAATGCATGGCATGTATTGTGTGAGAGAAGAATAAATAAGAATTGCCGGGCGGTGGTGGCGCACGCCTTTAATCCCAGCACTCGGGAGGCAGAGCCAGGTGGATCTCTGTGAGTTCAAGGCCAGCCTGGACTACCAAGTGAGTTCCAGAAAAGGCACAAAGCTACACAGAGAAACCCTGTCTCGAAAAACCAAAAAAAAAAAAAAAAAAAAAAAAAAAACTGAAAAACACTCAACACGGGTGTATTTTTAAAAATGGTAAAATGCCACAAAAGCTTTGTCCACCCGTTTGTTTTTGTTTGTGTCACAAGTGTTGCAAGGGTTCAGGAAACACTGGAACGAGCAGCCATCAGAAAGAGCAATGGCTCCGCCTGTGGAGCCCCAGCTCCCGTTCCCTTTGCTCTGCCTCCCTCCACGGGTGTGGGTGATCTCCAAGACATGGAACAGCGGAGATGAGGTTCACAAGTAAGGTGGCAGTGGACCGACCTAGATGGCTGAGCAGGCTGGTGGTGCCTCCCACTTGAGTATCTCCCCTTGCAGGTACTTGCTGACACTCAGATACTTTTCTCTAAGTTTTCAGCTGAGTTTTTTCCTTTCCAGTGTGACCAAGGAGCTTGGCATGGCTACAAGAATCTCCTTCGATGAGTTACGTAACCCAGCTCTTATGGACCCAGGTCCTTCTGTCCTCAACACTGTCCTAGATAGCTTACATTTGCACAGTTGTCTGAGGCAATGGTTTCTCAGTGTTTGGAGCTTGTGTGCATGCATGTATGCATGCAGGGCTATGAGGAGGACTGTGTATTTGATAAAGCACATGGTGGAATAATTCCCTGTCATTTTATTTGAAGTCTTGAAGGATAGAGAATTTACCTCCAAAGTAGTAACTATTTCCAGAGTAAATTTGCAGCTGGGAGGTGTCTGCAGCCGGGGAAGCAGCATCATTATCCAGTGTGAGGGTGACACGGTTTCTCCTGGCATTGATGCTGACTGAGTGCCACAGGCCATCATTCAAGTCACTGCCTGTAAAAGAAACAGGAAGGGCTGGTTCACGAGGGTCAGCTCTCTCCTCGGCCTTATTGCGTAGTCTCTTTTCCTGAGCCATTTCTGACAGTTTAGGCTATGAAACAAAGGGGACAAAGCCTAATATGTGGGGCATCTGTGCCAAATAAAGGCATGCTATATATTAATTAGGATGGTGATGGGTGACTGCGGAGGTAAAAGCTGAAGAAAAAAAAAAAACTCTTAAAACCCCTCAAAATGATACCAGCAAAAATTATATCCCCAGATACAATTGGTTTTTGGTTTTGTTTTAATTGATGGTTCCAAAAATCAATACCAAGACCTAGCATATCCTATGCAAGCTCTCTAACCCTGGACTTCACTGGCTCTGGTAAATTATTTAATTATACAGGGTTGATGGGGGAATGCCATTCTGCATGCCGTGAAAATGTGTTGCTCTGAGTGGATGATAAATAAAGCTGTTTGGCCAATGGTGAGGCAGAATAAGGTTTGGCGGGACATTCTAAAGAGAGAGGAAGGAAGAAGACAGAGCAGGGGAGACGCTGCTAGCTGCTGCCAGAAGAAGGAAGATGTAAAGGTACCGGTAACCCACGAGCCCCATGGCAAAGTATAGATTTATAAAAATAGGGTAATTTAAGATATAAGAACTAGATAAAAAGAAGCCTGCCGTGGCCATAGTTTAAAAATAATATTAGCCTGTGTGTATTTATTTGGGTCTGAGTGGCTGCAGGACCATTGGGTGAGAGAGATTTGTCCTGACTGCAGGCCAGACGGGACACAGAAAAACTTTCAGCTACACAGGGTAATTGTCTTAGTTTCTTTTTCTGCTGCTGTGATAAAATACCCTGACAAAATTAACTCAAAGCATTTATTTCATCTCACAGTCAAGGATACAGTCCATGGTAGCAGGGAAGTCAAGCAGCAGAAGCAGCTGGTTACATCACACCCAAAATTAGGAAACAGAGAAGGATGGGATGAATGCATGCTGCTGCTCAGCTTGCCTTCTCCTCTGTACACAGTCTAGGATCAGATGCCTAGCCCAGAGAATGGTCCTGCCTACCATTAAGATGGGTCCTCCTGTATCAGCTACTATAATCCAGGGAGTCCCTCACACATATTCTCAGTCTAACCTTAATTTCTGTAATCCATCTTGAGTTTTTCTGAAGGCTTGCTCCTAGATGAATCTAGATCCCATCAAGGTGGCAATTAACATTAATCATCACCACTATACAAGGGCAGTTTCATTTAAGAGTGTAATATGCTTTGATCATATCCTCTTCAGTATCCTGCCAGCCTTCCCCATACCCCACACTGGCTCATTCTCCAGACATGTTTGCTTCCACTTTCACGTCAGATTACTGAAGTGGTCAAGGTCAGCCCCATTGCAAGGCAGAAAGAGTTTCCCACTGAAGTCAGGATCAGATTAATTGAATACCAACTGTAGAAATTTTAATATATTTAGTCAACTGTATGTGTGTGTGTGAGGGTGCATGTATGTGCCCACATGTAGAGGTCAAAGGACAGTTTGTGTGAATTGAAGCTCTCCTTCCACTACTTGGATCCCAGGAATAGATCTCATGTGCTCAGGCTCAGCATCAAGCACCTTTACTGGCTGAACTGTCTTTCTGCACTCCAACAGTTTTTTTCTAAGTTCATCATAAAACATTGCCCGAGTCACCTGCCTTCCCTGATCTCTGGCTCATCACCTGCACATATGGTCATACCAGTTTGGCATCACTGTTGCAGGGATCAAACATAATCAGGGGACAATTCCCAGAGCATTTGGCGGGCCAAGAGTTTGCTTATTAAAAGCAACCCATCCTAATCCTTTGCAGCAGATCTCTTTCGGCTGCACTGAGACACTGACCTACCTTCCTGAGGAAGCTGCATTAGGAATCAATCATGAAGGGCCGGTTATTTCCTTTTGAAATTTTTCCATCTATGGAGACTACTGTTCGATTATGGCCCACTGAACACTGAGGGAAACGGCTCTATTGACTGCTCAGGCATCAATAACAGAACTGATACATGCTCATTGGTCAAACCATCTTCAGTGTGCCTGGCTGTACACCAAGGTGCTTTCCTTCTAATTGCCTCAGTTTCCCCACCTGCAAAAGGGGAGCACTGACTGTACTTGAAGATGGCTCTAGGGATTGAAACTACTACTATAGCTGTATGCTCAAGTGTCTGGGCACCATATGAACCAACACTAATGGACAAAACCATGAGTCCAAAACACGCTGGGAAAGTACAAATATTAACGTCATATGCCTTTGTATTTTGGAATGAGCCATAGGGGCAATTGTTGGAAGGATTAAAACACTATCTTTTGACTTTAGGCCAATGAGGAAGACAATGAAATTAATAACCCAGCCAATGGACACCTAGACTGACTCTGGGCGTAGCATGGCTGTTTGCACTCTTGAATTCACAGGAGCTATGATTGCCTGCATAAGACCTACACAAGATTTGACCCACAAACACCCTGTCAGGCAGTGCGAGGAGCTTGAGACAATTCAACCCACAATGATTTCTACCCAGTTAGTGGTTGCTGGATAAGAGGGCCCTTCCTTCAGTAGTGTAGTCACTATTAAGGTACCTCAGTACCTGTAACTCCCCACCCATGTTCCTGTAAACAACACTAATGAAACTCATTGGTTATTAAAAGCAAAGCCATGAAAGTAGAAAGGGGACCAATTTGGAAGGGGAGGGGACCAAAACTAGTGGGGGGCCAGGAAAGAGAGTGTAATGGGGTGAATATGATCAAAATATTTTATACATGTGTGTGAAACGTTATTAATGAAACCAGTTACACAGTTAATATATGAATAAAAATCAAAGACAAAATCAACCCAACCACAAACAGTTGAAAACTTGCAGCTCTAGGGGAGACAGAGATGACAGGCAGGGGAGAAAGAGGCATTACCAACTCCCTACTCAAGTCTAAGAATGTCTCACAGAGTAGGTAAGAGACGGCGTTCAGTCCAGTGAGCAAATATTGTAGGAGACAGAGAGCTGCCCAGATAACAAATAGATAACAAAAGAAATAGATAATGGAAAACAGAAAGAGACAAACAAAAGAGAGATGGACAAGGGATGCCAGTCAAAGCAGGTGGAGAGAAACCAGTCCCCAAGGCCTCAGCTGCCAGGCTAAGAGGGTTCAACAAGAGCCTTCCAAACAGAGCTCTGAAGAATATTTTACACAAATCAACTGCCTCAGAATCTCCATGAAGGGAATTTGGGCATTAGTACTAAAACAAACAAACAACAACAAAACCCCCATGATTTGGATGGGGTTGAGGAGTCAGTTCAGTGGGCAGAATCCCTACAGTTCATGCCCAACAATCCCCCAAACCCAGCTAGAAGCTAAAGGCAGTGACACAAGCATTTATTATCCCAGGGTGCCTGTGAGGGGTAGTAGGTGGAGACAGAAGAATTTGCAAAACCTTGGGGGCCAGCTAACCCTGCTGTCACACTGAGTCTCAATCCCTTTCTCATGACAACCAATACCCAGAGGTTGTCCTCTGACTCTCCATGCATAATGTAGTGCCCCAATATCCCTGACAGGTGCTTCATGACCTCACACAGGAACACATGGATTTACCTCTCCCTGCGTCCCTTCCTCCCCACCCCTACCACACACATATTATACACACACACACACACACACACACACACACACACACACACACACACACATTTATTCGAGACAGGGTTTCACTGTGTAGTTTTGGTGCCTGTCCTGGATTGTGCTATGTAGAGCAGACTGGCCTTGAACTCACAGAGATCTACCTGGCTCTGCCTCCTGAGTGCAGGGATTAAAGGCATGTACTACCACCATCTATCTCACGTGTGTGTGTGTGTGTGTGTGTGTGTGTGTGTGTGTGATGATTCTAATGAAAAAACAGAGATGCAAATCACTGCTGCAGAACACAGGGACCAATGAGGGATCTTCAATTTAGGAATACCCAAGCTAGAGGAGCATTTTCTCAGAGGACAATGTGAGCCTAGAAACAGTGCTTTTCAATCCTTTCCACAAGTGAAGATCACCCCAAGGGACAGGGTTACAGGATCATAGGCAAAGTGCCAGCAGAAAAAGCAGGGCCAAGGGTGAACCAGGAGCTGAACCTCCAGCTGTTTCTAGAGGAACACTAGATAGGACTTGGCAGAGGCCCCTGGAACCTTCCCTGGGAAGCCCTCTGGGGAGAAGTCAGACAGAGGCCTACTTGTCTCCGAGTCCTCAGGGCAGAGTCAGCTGCTCTGAGCCTCTGAGTGGAGAATCTGCAAAGGGCAGCCTCTGTACCAAGCCTGGAGGCCAGCTGTGCTCCTACCAGGGCAGCTGTGCCCCATCTGCTCAGAGGAGCCCAGATGGCAGGGACCCACCATGTTGCCAGCCAGTTCCCTCCACATCTGCTTCCTGTGGAGGGGACCCAGAGGCTTCTCCACCTGATGGCCCTGCCTTCCCTCACAGGCAGCTGTCAGAGACAAGGTAGGATCTGGGTCTTGGCCATGCGGACTGTGTTAATGAGGTAAAGCTTCTGTCAGGTGATTCCTGGGGATGAACATTGGATATTTCACAAGAGCATTTGAGGTGCAAGCCAACAGTAGGTCTGTTGTGCTTTCATTGCATACTAATTTAAATATATTTTCACGACATATGAGGTTGTATTTGAAGGCAGACTATGGACTAGGCTGGAAAAGGGAGTATGATTCACCATGCAGGGTCTGGCTAGTACCCTGGACTCAAGCATTTGGCTGGGCATAGGCCCCAGTGGAGAAGGCTGTATACAGAGGCCATTGAGGTTCTCTCTAAGCACAGGTCTACCATCTAGCCTCATCCCAGATGGACAGCACCAGAGGAGATGGATATGATATAGTTGTAGGAGCCAGAGTCTTCCTTTATCTTCTCATATGTGAATTCTGGTCTCTGATCCTTTCCAATATTATTATCCATATGTTCCTGTGTCTAATTGTGTGTGTGTGAATGTTTGTGTGTATGT